ACTCTCGTCCTATTTTAGCAAGAAAATTCCTACCTCGGTACATTGATTCACCGAGGACGCAGCTCGCAATTTCCCCGCTACGTATCAATGACTCGCTCGAAATATCGGCCAGAAAATTTCTCCAGGTGTGCGTTAATCGCGAATGGTCGTGTAAGATTCAAAGATCTACTACGTAGACTTGACGATCTATAGAAAGTTGAGATTTTATTGACAAAAAATAAATAGGGATCGAGAAAGAAAAGTTTGACGTATACTGGATTTCAAGACGGTCTGAACAGTTTATTTTCGTTACAGTTCGGAACTTAGCCGATGGTCTAATGAGGGAACTTAACTTCTAGGGATTGATCAAGATCAAGTTCTCTTATTAGACCACAGGCCGAGTTCCGAAGTACATCGAAAATAAAGTATTTAAACCGTTTTGAAACTGAGTATACGTCATTTCAAACGATTCTTAAAAACGAAAAACAAAGCGTTCAAACCGCTCTTGGAACCCGAGTGTACATATGTTTTCGAAAAGTCAGCTGTATTGTTGCGCGATGTTGTTCTCCTTTTCTCTCGCTATAAATAGTCAGTAATAAATATAAATAGTATAAAAGTATATGTAGTTTTCTCCACTTTGCTGCGTCCGGATTCAAAGCATTGTTTATGAGAATTAATCTCCCGTGGCAAAAGGATGCATAATCTGATAAATATAGATGCATCCGTAACATCTCTATAGACAGGTGCACTGAAGTCGAAGGGCAACCCACGCGAGAGGGAAGCGACACGTGGGGTCAACCTTGTTTTGACGCCGACGCGGCAAACACGCGTGGAATGCGCGAGCGAGCGAACGAATTACGTTAACGTGGGCGGCCCGAGCTGTAACGTAACGACTAGTAGTCGCCATTGCATTCTTTTCTCCTTTTTTAGTTCTCAGCTCTTCCGATGACGACGACAAAGACGACGTGACATACTGTTCGTCTCATCACTATTGTGCCCTCCACCTGCACGAACACCCAACTTCATCCTCAACGTCTCCCACCCGGATTACGTTCACACCGATCCATTTTTCATTAACCCGTTCAATGCGCTTTCTTTCGCGACGTGAATTAACAGCAAACGTGAATGATAGCGCTGGCCTCGTTCGCCGGAGCCCAGTAAACATCGAGTAACGGCAACATTATATCAATGTTATAGTTTCCCATTCAATAATGTAACCGTTACATACATGTGTTATATTGCACTGGTATTATTTAATAGGAAATTATAACATATGTTGGCTGTTATAATTTTGTGTTAATTTTCGACATAATATTTGTATTAAAATTGTTTTCAGCATAATTCACTTTAAATATTCACGTTAAATTAACATAAACATTTATTTGAAACATGTGAAATATGTTAAATTTAACACAAAATTTGTTACTGTGTGTGTACTGAAATCTTTATATTCCTGACATTTTTCCTATTGCACATTTCGACATGTCGGTATGCAGTTAATTATAATTTATTTCTGACGACGTTTCAGATGCGTTGCATAACGACTTTTATTTTATCTCATGCATCGAGATTAAAATATTTTTATTATTATGCTTACGTAAAGGTTACAAAAGTTATCATTATCGTTACCGGTAACAACAGTGTCTACTCGCGATACATGGAGGCAATCACGGACGAGACAAACGTGGAAGGTTTCCTATTTGTAAAAAATGAGGAGGATATGTACAGCCACTTCCTCGAGATAAGTCGCAAATGATAACGCGCCAGTTTGTCTGTCGCTTATTTGTGTAATAATGTTTTAACTTGTGAATGTAGTGCGCAATTATTACCGAGTGACGTTCTATGGCGCGTTAATTGCGGGGAGTTTTCGAGCGTAGAAATACGCTCGCTGAGCTACTATATTGATATTAATGATCAAGATCTCATAAATAATAAAAGGACTGTAATAAATGAGTCCAAGACATTAAGATGTACAATCAAAGTTTAGGATTAGAAAGGCCTACAAGAGTGGAGCGGAGGTGAACACAAGGTGTTGGTGTGTTCTTTTTTTTTTAAGTAGTCATATATTGAAATGAATAATAAACGTCTCGGTCTTTTTAGACCCTTATTAATGTAAAATTATGTTTTCGAGTCCTCATTACAATATATGAAAAGGCTTATCATGCTTATGCAAGTTTATTCTATCTTCTTAGTGAACATATTGTAATTAGATAAAGATTTGACAAATTTCGCAAAAAAATCTAGACATGCTGGCGATTTTATGATATTAATATGGATGTTTATCCACCTTTCCAACATGTATGTCAAGGAACTACCAATAATATTCCGTATGAATGAATCGGAAAAACTTAGACAAAGATCTCAACGTACGAGATCAAGAGATTAGCGCTCATCGTGTATTAAAATTAGAACGGTAGGCAGGAAATCAACGCGCAGAAGCGCCGCTTCGCCGAACATCTGCCGACAATTGTGACCGCACCGATAACGATCACACCAATCACAACGCAACGATCACAGAGCGGCTGAGCTGAACATTCGCCAAATTATTTAACTCGCACGGAAATTTCTCAAGATTTAGAAATCTTTTTCTCCCCTCCCCCCTCTACGTCTCGGCAACACTCGGCCGTGCGTAAATCTTCTTCCGTGCGAGAGTTTTAATTTCTCCGATGAGCGTCGCGCGCTTAGGTCGCCGTAAAAATCGCTCGTGTTTGCCTAAGCCGGCGGCCGAAATAAAGGTCCGAATATCATCGCATATCGTATACCGTGTATACGAGCGATAAGACGTGCGAGAGCGCGCAGTCCGTAGTACCCACGTGTGTACGTGTTACGCGATTACGTAGCACGTACTACGAAAGCCCACGGCACTCTGGAAGGAGACTGGCATGACCAAATTTGGTGCGGTCTCGCTCTCTCGCTCCGTCGATGCCGTCGGAAATTTTTCGTGAGTTCTTAACCCTTCGCACAGGGCGCATTTTCACGGATAAAGTGTATCCACCGATCGTATCTAAGGCGGCCCGACGTTTTTATCCGCGAGAGCTACGCTCATATTAATAACGTAGAACGTTGCGCTTCGGCACGATCGATGTTTCACTTATTAATACGGAAAGAGAGAAATGGGGGGGTGAGAGAGGAGAGAGAGAGAGAGGAAATGGAGGAAAGGTAGGGTAAAAATTTATGTTTTGGTCGCCGGTAGAACGACGGTATTTTGCAAGCTAAACTTCCGCAAGATTTATCGCAAAGCTACGAGGCCACTCCGTTGGGCACCGCAAGGCATAAGTGGCGTAATCGTTATTTTTACCGGTACAATGATGACGGGTTACGCGATTGTTAAACACCATATGGACGTTGCAAGGCGCGGATTCATCTGGATGTCTTATACTTAGAAGCGGTCCCGCTTTCCGTGGATTATGGATTTTAGAGACGAGTATTTTTAGAGGGACGCGCGTTTGTTTAGATCAGTTATTTGCATCGGCGCAGTAACGTGCCCGCCGCGCTCGAGGCCACTCGTTCATCGACAAATGATCGGGGAACGGCATCCTGTGTAATATTTAATTTATGAGACAAGTGAAGTCCAGAATTAGATAAATAAATGAGATTGAATTAGGAATAGAATTAGCTACATTTAGCGCTGGATATGGAATAGATTTCTCATGAAACTTGGATGTTCAACGACGAGCGCCTGCTGCTTAAAAAGACTGATTAAAAACGATTGAATAGCCTCAAAGTTGTTTAATTTTATTATAGATTATCATGCCGGTCAAGCGTCACGTATCATGTACGTTCAGCGTGGCATATTTGATTGTTTAACAAAAGACAGGATCAAAAGAGTACGGATGATAGAGTAGGTACGTGCTTTCAACGAATGAAATGTAGATTCGATTTGTTGAATTCTGCCGTGAATGACCGACAATGAAGTTATTTAATATAAAATATTTAATAAACCTGGTCACGGCATAACGGTCGGAAACGAATCGAAGAGACGACCGAGAATCGAACTCGAATTTATTAAATATTTCATTTCGCACCCATCGAGAATCCATTTTCCGCGTTTACATTTTTGAGCCGGTATTAATCTTTCAGAGTTCCCTCAATATATTTTGAAATTATACATAAATATCGGGGGTCACGCGATGTGCTGCCTCCGTGCCGTTTGTCGTCGCCCTTTTCATCCGCAGGAACGATATTAACCCTAGCTCGCCACATTTCGGTCCAATGGACTGCTGAACGTTTCTTGGAGTTTTCTAGTTTTCACATGGCATACTATATTTTTTCCTAAAATATCAGGTGTCCGTTACAACGAACGAACATTACTTTTTCCTAAATCGCATTTGCAAAACCAATTGAGAATTTTCATCGGAAATACTCCTTTTGTGCAACCACGTTTGTAATCGTATATTCTTTGTATTTCCAATTTCCATATTACAAGCTTAAAGATATCCATTACATTGTGAAAAACATTTTCTACTTGTGTTGAAATCGGTTCTTAAACTGTGCAAATTTTTCTGTTAAGTTTTTAACATACTACGTTTATACTACCTCAACATTTTGCGTCGTGTCGATATTCAACATGCTTAAGTGTTAAAATAACGCACTTCATATTTCCACGTGCCGATTAACGTATCAATTTTTGATCTTCGACATGATATTTGTGTTACTTTCCAACATATTCACCATGTGTCAAGTCGACACGAAGAGCGGATCTTTCGGGGCGTGCGAAATGTGCGAAAATTTAACAGAAAATTCCCTCCACCGTGCGGATAACGTTAAAAGTACCCGCCGTCCCGGCCATTCCTTCACACCGCAGACTCGCGACTCGTTCGCATTTTCCTTTCCGCGGAGAAAGCTGGGCTTTTTCGGAGTAGCGTGTAACCGAGTCAGAGAAGCGACTCGATTAGATTAACGAGCGAGTAGAGCAGGCGCTTATGTACGGCACCATCGGGTTCCTACGCAGGGGCCGGCCCTGTCGCGGCGGCGGCTGTCGTCGTCGCCGCCGCCGCCGCTGGACGACGGGAACGGCGGAATCAGGCGGAACCGGGAACGGTGGAGTCACAAGAGTGTTGTCGGACGTAGTGCCAGTGTTGCCCCGAAGTGATAAATTGATTTCGTGCGACGGGAGAGCGGCTCCGCGCGCATCTATGGATATTCCTTGCGGTGAGTAGGACGCGCGCCCGGCGCCGAATTCGCCGGCGTGCGATTAAAACGCGCGGCCGCCTATATTGATTTTTCCGCCGATTCTCCGGACGGATGGGCGTGCTGTGTCCCGCGACTCTTCTCGCTCCTCTCTTGCTCTCGCGGCCACCTCGGCTCCCTTTTTCCCCTTCGTCTTGCGCTTCCGTCGCTGCCGTACGATCTCCTCTCCTTTGTGCCGCGACCCGAGCGTCGTCGTCCCTTGACGTTTCGGAGCCGTCGGACGGAGAGTCGGAGCTAACCTCAAAAAGCCGTGCGCGGGGGATGGGCTATCCAACGGGTGTCTCCCGAAATAGAGATGATTCACAACAGAGGGACGATTGACAGGTCGCGGATTAACAATTCGCGCCGATGACGTCGATCTGCGTGTGTACGTGTGTGTATGCGCGCACCGTATGCGATACGTATGCGTGCGTGCGTGCGCGTGTATGCGTGTGGGACGATGTGCGTGCGGAGCACGGGGCCGCCTTCTTATTGATATCCGCTCCGGTGGTTTTCGTTTGGTTAAATGCGCGACGTGCCAAAACAATAGGCCCGTGGAAAATCAATAGGCAGGCTGTGCGAGAGGTTAAATAGGGAAACTCTCGGCGTCCCGCCGACGTCGTGCCGCCGCCGCTGCTGGAGGCGGGCCAGTCGCAACGCCAGATCTCTTCCCGACGAGATTGTTTTCCTACCTGGCCGTCGGCCTACGCGTAACGCGCGATGCGTGACATTAAGACGCCTCCCGCGTCCCTCCGCGGCGTCTCAATTATTCTGTTGACTTTTCGGATTGCCCAACTGACACCGCCGATTTCACCTCGAATCTCTCTCCTCTCGGGCTTTTATCTCTCCACTTCTCGATAACTCGGGACAAATAACTTACCTTCGTCCGTTATTAACGGTCGTTCCGAAAGTAGTTTCGAAACGGAAAATTTATCATCATCCGGATGGCTTCGGCAACAACATATCCCTGGACTGTTCGATATCTATCTGAGATGTTGAATATTTAATACGGTATCTGTTATAATATTTTTAACATTTTCACGCAAAAGCCAAGGAATAGTGCGGAATTATCAGAATTCCTAGCAGATCGGCGAGATCGCTCGTCGTTATATTTCCGAAAGCGAGTGCTCGCTTAATTAATTCGGCAAGTAACGGTGAGTCACCGCCGACGTAATTTCTCGCAGAATGTCTCAGTAAAATTGTTTCCTACGAATCGATATGCATGCGTAATCGTAACCATGACGTGGCATATTTTCTGCGCTCTGTAATTTCGTGAGAAATTAGCTTCAGTCGTTTTTGGTTGAGGTTAACTAAGCAATTATATATTCACATTGTGCTCTATTTCGCGTTATAATTGGGAAGCAAGGCTAATCAGAATCATAGCAGTCGCAAGCCCCAATTTACGGATTCATCGCGCGCGACATTCAAACACTCAATTATCCAAACACCATTCCTCCTCGTCGATATTGAACACGTTTCTGGCGTCTTAATGGCGCTGGAAATAAGGCTAATCCAAATTATACCCATCTCAATCGGAGTGCTAGTAACTCCGCGATCGCGACGGTGGGAAATTATTTCGGACAAAATTCGTTCAAGAATATAAAACGAGAGAGGGAAAGAGATAACATTATAATATTAAAAGGATTTAAAATTACAATCGGCGGATGAGAATTATTTCAATCCGGATTAGTTTCGTACAGGAAAAGAGGCATAGCAGACTTGGAAAAATGAATATAAATTTCACGGAAGGAAAAAGAGAGAGATATAGGGGGGGGAGGGGAGAGAGAGAGAGAGAGAGAGACTCGATCAATTCGGCAAAAATAAATATCGTCTCTCCGTGTTTGTTCTTGTCGTTGGAAGCCAATGTGCTCGAGGAATATAATCACGTGCGATACGCCGCATATAAATTAGGATGTGCGCAATTATTAAACACATGTACCGTTGTACACCGTAGTCCCCACGTCTATTAACGAGACACGCGACGAACAGACACGTATTGTCTAGAAATAGTAGACGTATGGAACCACACGATCCATCGAAATATGTTAATACATGAACGACAGCGGCAAGTTTTCCCATCAACTCGTGCGAAACTGTATCGAAACTTTACGTTACATAAATTGCGCGCGAAATATTCTCCTTTGTGAGTCGCCGATATTTTTTTCTTCTCTCAAGTCGAAGTTTCCTATCAAATGTTTAGACTGAATTTAGTAATTTTCTCTCGGTACGCAGCTATTCGATTTACCTGAATCTCTTTTACGAGCTATTAAAACGATTGTTATCATTATCTTATCCGCGCACAGAACGGAGAGATTTTTTTTTACCTCCGTCTAAATTGCGTTCCGACAGGTCGGTGTGTGCGAAAAGTTTCGCTTTCGAATCGTTCATAACCCCGAGAGCCATCTCGAAATATCTCGACGTGGAACTTTCAGTTTTGACCGCGAGAAGTCTGACGTCGAAACGTCCGGGTAACCTGCGCGGCGATATCAGGGCTCGTTGCAACGCGACACTTTGCGTCCATGCACGTCACGTCCTCTCTTGTATCTCGTTAAAAAGGAGACGCTAATTTCCATCCGTTTGCCGGAGATGTCGGCCGGGCGGAGATAAGAAGAAGGAGAAGAAAAGAAAAAGTACGTCGCGTCGCGTAACCGTCGTCCTTCCCGCAACTTCCCGAGGCGCGATACTCGGATTACGCGTTGCCGTTTACGAACAAAGCCCGGTAAAAACGGAAAGTGTAAGTTCCGGTATATGAGAATATACGAGTGGTGTATATAAATAGCGGAGAGCGCGTACGTCCGGTGCGTGTCGTACGCGCACAGTCGGACGGATTCAAAATTAGCAACACGGCCTCCACACGTACGTGACGTACGTGTGCGTATGCACGTGCCATGTGCGACATTCACACATGACTACGGCGTGCTTATCGGCGTGCGTGCATGCGTGTTTCTCCACGAAGTTCGTAATGGACCGCGAAGAAGTCGACCGACTTGCCGTATTTCAACACATGCTCGCGACGATGACGCATAGTCGCGCGAATTCCTGGCGTCATCGTCGCGAGATTATGCACCACGCGACGGGCCTGTGCGGTCCGAAGCGCACGTTGATAATGATAAACCTGAAGGCCGCGTGCATGCACCAACGAATACGTATACCCGACGCACGCACGCACGTGCAGGCAAACATACTCGTATATTTTTCGAACACGACGAGTTTTGTGCACGGGGATAAAAGTCTTCAGTTCGTGTAATGGAATCGGGAGCAGACGAGAACTCGGTGACGACAGAGAAACGATATCTCTGTTATCGCGACCGAAAATATTCGTCCGGACATTCGGCCGCGTTAAAACTCGATTGAGATAACCGGGAACATAATTGATTGAACGGGAATCTCCTGCGGGAATCTTCTGTTCCCACATCCGAGTCTTCATCTGGTCTACAGATAACAGAAAATCAATTACGAAGAATTCTTCCTTGTGTAAATTAGAATTTTTTCTTCTACGTAGAGCGACGTCAAATCTCTGATTTGATTTGATATTTAATGAGAATATCTTGATGCTCAATAAGGTTTTATTCGTATCAGATAAAATAAGAAAAAAATTGTAATTAACAAGGCTTAACATGTTCGAAGTTAAAGATTTTATTTGACGATTAACATTTATTTGACAATTTTTCATAATTTTTTATTTGAGAATCAGCTACTATAAACATATGAAGTTTCCCTTTTATCGCCAATAGTTGAAGAGGAAGAGTGAGAGAAACAGAGAGAAAGAGAGAGAAAAGTAGATTTTTTTTAATTAAAATACTCCGTAGTTTCTTAATTATAGTTATAGGCAGCGTTGCCATCCAATCACTTAAGTCACCTTTTGTCATATTTTTTCTGAGCGGTCTTTAAATTTGTAAAATATAGATTCTATATATATTTTTGCTATATCTCTCAATAAAACGTTCTTAATCTTTCTTTGTTATAAATTTTCAAACTATACTATGAAAAAACCCGCTATATGTCAAGTTATCCAAATATAAATCTGAAAAGATAAAAGTAAGTGTTAAATTTTTGCTTAAATAGTTTTAGTTACTCTCAAAATTTGACAAAAGAATGTCACTTTTGATGTCTTTTGGTCACTATTTTGATGTCTAAGAGGTCAGTCGTCTTTTGTCGCCTTTTCTGCCAAGAAGCAGTCACTATTTCACTTTTTTTCTTCGGTGACTGGATGGTTATAGCGCTGTTATATGCCGTGTATCGCGCTTCCCAATTTTTCACTTATATTCGCGCCGATATTCATCGATCCTCTCGGTTCTTGCTCGAATCCAGATGTAGCACGGATTGATGGAAGACAAAGCTACTGCAGACATTGACTGTCTGAGTAGGTCCTATATAGAAAAGTATCTGCCATTTGTCTCGCGTTAGGGTTACACTTCTTCAGCACGTACGCGCTGCCCGAAACCACTAGACCACGTTACTGAATTCTTAAAATAAGAATATGATATGCCAAGTGCCGCGTCGCGATGTGAATAACGATCTTATCGCAATTTTACCGATTTTACCTATCGATAACGTCATTAATCTATGAATCTCAATTCTAATTACAGACGATGTTCATCAATTCCCCCTCTAAAGATATTAAAATTTCGAAAACGAAACAACTTATGTTATCGCTAAAGGATTCCGTTTATTTTTTCTCTTTTCACTAATAGCTGTTCCGTGTGTAGCCGGCGAGTCTTTTAAGGAACAAAAGTCGCAAATAGACGGCGAGCGAGTCATCCGGGCGAAGATCGCGTTGTAATTCGAGTCAAACACCTCACCGTTAATGTAACGAAGCTCCGAGGGAGACAAATAGCCTCAGATTCACGAAACGACTTTGTAGCTGTAAACCGCTTATCCACCGATCCGCAGTGCCGCCGGTGCCAATTCAGCTTTTAAATCGCGACGCTCGAATTTCTCGGTGTCCCGCGCGCGAACGTAAATTCACACGCGGCCGCTCG